CCCGGGTCACGGTGGTGCGGGGAGGCTCCGCCGCCGCTCCGCGGCCTGGGAGACGTTCCTCCCCGTAAGGGCGGCGACTGTAGCCGGGACCGGCGACGGTGGGGTCTCCGCTAGCGGGGGCTTCCAGAGCCCTGAGAGAGCCGGTCCAGCGGCAGGCTGGAGCCTGCCGGCACAGCTTCTGCCAGGGTGGCCGGGCTGCGGCCTGCTCCCGGGGGGAGCTTGGTCCTGGGAAGGGATCTTCATTGTCCCTGTTCTGGGATCGCTTCATCGCCTTTAACAACCCCTGGTACAGGCAAAAGTGGGATGTTAGCCGAAACTTAGAACGTGTGGGGAGCTGAAGGAGTCTTGCCGCCGCCTTGGCTGCCGTGATTGGAAGGAAGGGCCTGGATTTGCGACCTTGGGCATCTTAGGTGGCTGGGGGATGCAGTGGCAGGGCATGCAGGCGGGAGATGCATCTGTAGATCATCATAAGTGGTCAAAACAAATGCACTTTCTTCTTTTCCTTCTTTCTGATTTGCTTGTGCCTCTCACATCTTTGTTTTCTAGCCCTCTGGAGAGCCCTGTATGCCCGCCTGGGCGTTGCCAGTAAATCTGGGCTCTGCTGTGTGCACGGCATTGCCCCGGGACCCCCAGGAACAGCTGGCTCTGGACAGAATTGCAGTCCTTTTTGACAACTGGCAGATATGAAAACAAGTGGTGGTAGGCTGTGGTTACCTCTCTCGGTGCCTAAGGGTGCTTAAATAAATCACTGAGGTGATTTATTTATATTCCTAATCAGCTTTAGGATGGTTTTTCACCTTTTTTGGGGCCAGAAGCTTTGATTTCTCTGAATAGGCTGGATTTCAATAAACTTGGACGGGGATTTTAGTGAGGTCTGTCCAACCCATCTCTTTGGTCTGGATTTAATTCCAAAATTAACTGTAAAGTTTCTTGCCATATTTTTCAGTAGGTGCAGGGAGGCTCGTGGTTTACATCAGTGTGTTTACCTATGTCGTTGGGTTTTGGGTGCCAGTGTAATATGCTGTGAGTAATGCAGTTTATGTGAAAAATTACCACCATCCGGTTATAATCAAACAGGGAAAATATTTTTATTTTCAGGCTCTGGAGATACAGCCAGAATTTTTTGTTCACATGGCAGCAGCAAACTCTACTCCACCTAGCTCTTTGGATCTAAACCAGCCTGGATTTGCAAAGGAGATCCTGGGAACTAAACTGGAGGTCAAATACCTCTGCTCCGATTGCAAGAATATATTGAGAAGGCCGTTTCAAGCTCAGTGCGGGCATCGATACTGTTCCTATTGTCTGAAGAAAATCATAAGGTAACTTTTGTGCCTTCAGTCTGAAGACAAAATGCTTGAAAAGGTGTTTTGAAGCATAAAAAGGAGAGAAAAGTCTCATTTTCAAGGCCTTCTCAGCAAGGGAGCTTTGTTTAATCGTTGAGATTCAGCATCAGGCCTTCTTTAAGGGAATGTGTAATTTCTGACTTGCTTTTATTGTTCCGGGAGTTGCTTCAAAGTTCCCTTTTCCGGAATCTCCTGGATTGTTTCTGCCATTCAGGTGGCAATCCAGGTGGATTACTCATCTCCTTCAGTCTTCCTCACAGCTACCGAAGGAACTTGGTCCTAAAAGTCATCCTATGGTTGTCGTGCCAAAAATGTGAGAAAGTTAAGCACATGCTGTCTTCCAGAAAAGTTTCCTTGTGTTCTGTCTCACTCTTTCTTTTAAGTGAGGGAAGTTGAATGGAGGGGTTAATCAGGAGAAGAAAAAAAATTAGAATCAGAAATGGGAGTCATAAATACCCATGAGAAAAGGCTCAATGTGGTGTTTTAAAAATAAGAAAATACTTTCATTTTATGAAGTTACCAGAAATTGCTTTATTGTTAAATGATAAATTGGTCTTTTTGTTGTGTTTGATGATTATTTTTCTGTCTGATAGTGCTGGACCTCAAAAGTGTGCCAGCTGTATTCAGGAAGGAATATATGAAGAAGGAATTTCTATTTTGGAAACAAGCTCCGTAAGTAAAAATAAAGAAGCTTACTGATGTCATTAATATCACTTGCCGTTTTTGTTTAAAACACAGGTTCTGAGAATCCCTTATTCCTAGGAAACGTTTTCTTC